AGAGAAGCAAGAGCAGGAGCATAGAGCCTGCTGAACATAGAGCCCAACCGAGGACTCAATCTCACCACCCTGAGATCATGACCTGAGCTGAAATCAAGAATTGGAGGCTTAACTGACTGTGTCACCCAGGTGCCCCTGATGAAACTAACTGAAGTAAACTATGCCAATATAATTTTAAAAGACTATGACTTATTTATATGTTAAGATGAATTTTAAATTGTTAAACATAGAACAGTTTATATCTTCATTTACATTGGCAAAACAACTGATGCATTTTATAATTTCTATTTTTCAGCTACTAGAGCAATTATATTTAGAGAAATTGGTGTGGATTTATGTTGCTGTTTCATTGCTTTTTTTTAATAGTTTTAAATTGGTTTAAATTTACCAATAGTAGTTTCTATTATAGACATTCTCATGGGAATTGCCCAAGGTAAATAAAGAAAACCTAAGAAACACTGCCATGGATACAATGCTAACTTATAAAAACTAACTCAGAAGATGTTAATTTTTTCTAACTTTACTATTTTATGAATTGCACAAAACAGTAGTCAATGATTTGGATGGCCTGACTGGAAACTCCTTTTTTCCTCATCTATTTTTTTTTTTACAGTAAACTTTCATTTTGTTCTAATTATTTTTTAAGATATTTATTTATTTATTTATTTATTTATTTATTTATTTATTTATTTATTTATTTATGAGAGACAGAGAGAGGGGAGGGGGTAGAGACACAGGCAGAGGGAGAAGCAGGCTCTATGCAGGGAGCCTGATGTGGGACTCGATCCTGGGTCTCCAGGATCACGCCCTGGGCTGAAGGCGGCGCTAAACCGCTGAGCCACCCAGGCTGCCCCATTTAGTTCTATTTACTGAGTTATAACAAGAAGTCCCAAGTCAACAGCTCTCTTCAGAAAATTATATTTTATCTCTATCTGAATAATCACTATATCTACTATCATCATAATGAAAAATTATGCATGTGAAATGGCAAAAAAAAAGATTATTTAAAAATTTAGTATCATTACCTCTCATGAAAATTTTGACTGAAGGAGTTTTAACTATTTTTCTACTAGGAAAAGAGGATATTAAAAAAACACTTTTCATCTAAAGTTTAAAATAATAGGGTATATATGTATGTTTATTTATAGGTATGCAAAGATAAACACACACATATTTTCCAAGATACAGAGAGCTAAACATACTCCTCAATCCCTGGCATACTATCATAACTTATTATTGAAATAGAATTTTTTTATAAATACTCAGTCTTAAAAAATAATAAATAAATACTCAGTCTTACATATTTATTTATTTATTTTTATTTTTTTAGTCTTACATGTTTAAGTACTTTGCCATATATTTTCCTTGAAAAATATACACTGATTTTTATATTTTTGTTTTTTAATTTATAAAAAATGGTATTGCAATATTCTCATTCTGTTTAATACTTTTTTTTCTCTTTAATCATATTTTTTGATGCCTGAAAATACTTTCTCTCCTTCTGACTCCTAATGGTCCAAAGTAATATATTTTATTTTTCTATTTTTCTTATTATGGTCATATAACATGCCTCTAACTCTCAGTCACCACAGATACTCAAGAATTCTCCTTGTGAATATGAGTAAGAGTTTCTTGAGAAACATCCTAAGAAAGCAGGCAAGTGCATAGACTAAATGAGTTTTACAAAGTACAGTACATTCTTGCTAGAATGCTTGTACCAGTGAACCACATGATTGTTCACATAGAAAATCCAATCTCATCAACAGACCATCCATTAGAATAGAGTTCAGAAAAGTAGCCATATATAGTATTATAAACATATCTTTGTCTGAATCTGTCTATTCAATATTCACCTCATTTGCTTGGCTGGTCTGTGTACACTGAGGTAGGCTGGGAGAATGTTTTGGATTATCATAACCTGAGTCAGAGGATGACTCCAATATTATATCTTCCTTTGTATGTGGTATCTGCTAGAGCAAATCAAAACATGTACTGCCACCTGCTATCTAGCTAACAATTTGGCAAATCCTTTTTTCTCTCTTTATCAATTAGTAAGGATAATTAGAAATATTTCACTTCAGCTGGTAAGAATGTCTTCACTGATAGACCTCAGGGCAATTCTCCCACTCCATGACAGACAGGAGCCTTGATCATTTGGACACCCTACAGGACTCCATGCTGATAATAAAATATTGATCACATCATCCTAGTTGCCTCAGTAGACATGTGCATGCCTCTGGTGGGGAAAAATATTGACATTTCAAGGGCTTGACAATTCAGCTGGGTTTGTAAATGTCCAGTAGTCTGATCTTATTGGGATATTCTTCTAATGTAAAGGGCAAATTTCTGCATTATGATGACCTAGTACTCAGGAGGAGGCACAATGCTTTTTAGGTCCTTTTGCATATTAGAGAAAACACAATGCACACTTAAATGTGTTGCTATAACCCATTTATAAAATAGCCCCAAGGAGCTTTTATATGGGAAAGAAAAGTATGTAGGTTGGCGTTTCACAAACTGTTCTGATGTTCAGTCAAGATTGACCCAGTTCATCCATTCAGTGCTGCCTGAAGTACCAGTAGCAAATGAAGATGCTCTACAGAGATTCTGGAAAGTCCTGTTAGAAGAATAATAGTATAGACATCAAGGATTTTGAGCTAAAGTCATGCCTGCTTTTGCTGAACACTGTTTTTGCTTGGTTGGTTGGGTGGTTGGTTGGGTTGGTTGGTTTGCAAATGGGCTCTGTCAGAAACTACACACTCGGGATGCCTGGATGGCTCAGCAGTTGAGCTCTGCTTTCGGCTCAGGGCCTGATGCTGGAGTTCAGGGATTGAGTCCCACATAAGGCTCCCTGAGGGACTCTGCCTATGTATCTGCCTCTCTGTGTGTCTCTCATGGATAAATAAAGAAAATCTTTAAAAAAAAGAAACTGCACACTTGACCATGAGATAGCAAGTGACACTGCAATCTGAGATGCCCACGATGAACTAACTGCTATCTGATCTGCCAGGCTATGAGATCAGGCTTATATAGAAGCAATATATCATCAAGGGGAAGCTGATCTATTGAAAATCAGGCTCAAGTGGGTGGAAAAAGAACAGGTAAAATGCAGAAAGTAGCTCAAACTCACTCAGCACCTACTCTGCTACATTTCCCTAGCTATTTCATTTGAAATTTATGACCTCATGGGGAATTATCAGTGATGAAGGATAAATAAAATTCAGGTCTAGTTTATGGATACAGAAAAATAAATAAAATTTAGCCGTAGTTTATGGATAGGTCTGCACTATATGTAATACTTATGTATGTAGGTATTAAGCAGAAGTATACTGGAATAGCATTTAAGTTCCATTTAGGAGTGGCAATAAAAATGTGTAGGAATAAATTGCATAAGTGGCCTCATGTATAATAGCTCTGGTTGTTCACTTTGTGTGGCATGAAAATGGTCTGTGACAGACTTACTCTGGTTCATTGGGCAATGGCTAGTGGTGGCTGGCTGGTTAGTGACATAGAAATACATGAGTTTGCAAGATTGGTAACAAGGAGGTCAATTTGGTGGCTAGACAGATACTTACAAAATTAGCTATTCATATGAGCCCCCCAATGTTCCTGAGACGTTTAACATGTGTTGGGTTTTGCTTTGTCTTTCCAACAACTGAGTTGTTCTGGTGGTGAAACAAACATGACCTTTAAGAACTTAAGATCTTCCTTAGCTAGGTTTTATTATAAGAACCACTTTATACTATACCCCGCCACTATATGCTCTACACTAGCCAAAGCACATTAATTTCTCAAATACGAGAAAAGACTGCTGATCATTATAGATGTTTAGAGGAAAAAAAAAAAAACAGCTACTTTACATGCAAAGTGCTAATTCTTTTGAGCTGCAGTGAATAGCCAGCAATAGCCCAGATCTTTATTCCAAATTATAGTCCATCTGAGAAGAGAATGAGGCAATTAGGAACACTGTCCCAAAAGGAAAGAAACAGATTTTACATTATAGAGAGTAAAGCTATGTAACATACTGAATTTGCCATAAAGTATTATTAGAAATAACTATTTGAGTTAATAAATGAATATAGAATTCTGAATTTCAATTCAATTCAAAAACACCCACTGAGAATCTAGTATTTGCCAGAACATACACTGGTCAACAGAACACAAAAATAAATAAAATAATAGCTTCCTTCAGTTTTAAGAGTTTTCAGTATGACTGCCAGATATCAAGCAGAGATATTAATGAAGGCTTTAATTTAACATGTGAAACAAGGATGGGAAGAGTGGTAGAAATGTGAGTTATAGAAGCAAGCCATTCAATGCTTATCATTTGGAATCAACAAATAGCCATTTTCAGTATTCCAGATAAAAGAGAAACTTCTTATCTAACCATTTTCTAACAGATGCTTAGCATACAGTAATACTGATATCATCATTTATGTGAATATTCTGTCTTCATTGTCCAATACAGTAGCTATATGTAGAATTTAGGCTAAAATTAATTAAAATTAAAAATTCAATCATCAGTCACAATAGCCACATTTTAAACTATTTTTTTATTTTATTATAGTAAGATCTAACATCTTAAAATGTGAAGGGTACAATATATTATTGTTGGTCACAGGGAGAGGGAAATAGAGAAGTATTAATTAATGCCCATAAAGTTTCAGTTAAGTAAGATCAAGTAAGTCCTAGAGATCTGCTGTACAACATTGTACGCAGCCATATTTTAAGTGCATAATGACCATATGTGCCTATTGCCTGCCATATTGTATTATAGCAAGTGTCTCTTATCACAAAAAGCTTATTAATTGGTCTCATAAGTTGCACTTATATTCCTAATTAAGTGAATAGGAGCAATCACTGAATTTTAAAAGTAATTAATAGTAATCTTTTTTTCTTCAATAGTGTATTTTGTTCTACTTAATTGAATACATTCTATTCTGTTGAAAATTAATGGCTTACTTTCTCTTCTCTTTCTGGTTGTAAAACAAATGTCTTACTTTCTTCCGTTGGCAAGTGTCTCTTCATCATTCCTAGGAGAGATCTTCATCCCATGCTTCTCTTTGCTTCCATCAAAAGAACAACGGGGGCTTTGTGTAGGTGTTCTGATTGGACGGCCACAAATCTTACTGACCTTTCAAATAGAAAATATTAAAAAACAGTTAGAAGCCATCCTCCATTCTACCTGAGAATATAATGTTTGCTCAAATCTGAAACAATGGCATGTTCTTACTTATACCTCAATAGTAACTTTTAAGGCATAGAATGTTTTTCAATTTTTCAGAAGGGGAATTAAATTATCTATATAAAATGTCAACCATGATAAATTGATACTATGCATATTTATACATTTTGCATGTATACATATGCAGAACACATGAAGAAAATATATATGCAGAATCAGAGAACTATATTAATAAACTTGCTTGCTTCTATAAATAAGATTACTTAACCAAGATAGATATTATTTATGGTTTACATTCAATTTATGACAATCATAATCATATAATTGTATTGATATTTTAAAAGAACTAATTTGCTATTGAATATGTGATCTGAGGAAACAAAAAATGGTGAGGATGTGGAGAAAGGGGAACTCTTTTGCACTGTTGGTGGGAATGCAAGCTGGTGTAGCCACTCTGGAAAACAGTGTAGAGGTTCCTCAAGAGGTTCCTCTATTTTCCTTAAAAATAGAACTACCCAAAAACCCAGCAATTGCACTATGCGTATTTGTCCCAAAGATACAGATGTAGTGAAATGATAGGACACCTTCACCCCAATGTTCATAGCAGCAATGTCCACAATAGCCAACTGAGAAAGGAGCCATGATGTCCTATGACAGATGAATGGATAAAGAAAATGTGATATATATATATATATATATATATATATATATATATATATATATATCTCCAATGGAATATTACTCAGCCATCAGAAAGGATAAATATCTACCATTTACATCGATGTGGATGGAACTGTAGGGTATTGTGCTGAGTGAAATAACTCAATCAGAGGAAGACAATTATCATATGGTTTCAATCATATGTGGAAAATAAGAAATAGTGAAAGGGATCATAAGAGAAAGGAGGAAAACTGAGTGGGGATAATTAGAGAGGAAGTCAAACCATGAGAGACTCCTAATGCTGGGAAACAAACAAAGGGTTGCAGAAGGAGAGGTGGGTGGGGAGATATGGTAACTGGGTGATGGGAATTAAGGAAGGCACATGATGAGATGAGCACTGGGTGTTATATGTTGGCAAATTGAATTTAAATTAAAAAAAAGAATATGCAGTCTGTTTCTAAATGAGTTCTAAGAGTGGTTTTCTTCTTAAGGTCCTTTCTTAGAAATAATAATAGATATGTTTGTATAAAGATCTCATTTTGTAATAGTTCTTTATCTTCTTCCTATATTTTGAAAGGGTTAGTATAGTTATTTTTTAAAATAATTATCCAAATTAAAAATTCATTAAAAAACTCCTCTAGCAAAGATCTTTGTATAGTTTACATAACTATCATTGAAAAATTGAGTAATTAATTAGACATATTACCATGTAAAGTATAAAAAAAGACTCACATGATACCTTATAGAGTTATAGAGTATTATAATCACAAATATATAAAATATATAAAATCTTACTCAAATAGATAAAAGCATTGCCTAGGAATCAGGAGACTTTGGTTCTTGTCCTAATTTTTTTTCCATGTTAAGCACTGAGATCTTGAAGACAATAGCAAAATTTCTTTGAATTTGATTTCCTTATATGTAAGATAAAGATGTTAGAGTAAATTATTCCAAAGTTCCCTTAAAGTTATCAATTTCTTTGGTTTTCCATGCAATGAGCATTCAAGGAATTATACACTAATTTGTTTATTTAACCCATATTTTGCTTCTAATATTTGCAAAGAACATGTATGAAAGGTTAGAAGGGAGAAAAAATTAATAACTGAATTTTCTCCTAAAAGAGCTGACAATTTAGGAAGAAAGAGAAAGAAAAAAATTATTCTCAAAAATCAAAATGCAAGTTGTGTATGTGCCCAAAAAGAAGGACTAACATGGTGTTGCAGATACCTGAAGGAGGGTGAAGATTTGACAACAGGAAGGACCACTGTGTGGAAGACCACTCCACTGGGCTGAAGCTTGGAGTATTTGTCAGGTCTGAATATGTTGAGATTGATTTCAATTCAACCAACTTGTAAATATATAAATATTTACTGCACCTCATTGTTTTAGATGCTAGAGATACAAACATGAATAAGATGTGGCCCTTGCACACAATTAAGATAAAAGTCAGACATGTAAAATGGTAATTGTAATCGAATGAGACAACAACAACCATAGAAATAGCTAGAAGCAACACTGAAACACTTAGAAAATGAACAGCTTCACTCAGGGAAAAGCTTTAGGAAGGCATGTCTAAAGAACAAGTTAAAGCATAAACTAAGAGGTTGTCAGGTGGACAAAGCAGGGGAAAAGTTGTAGGAGAGAGTAGGAAAGCAAAGAGATGTACAATTTAACATGCTGACATCAAACAAAAAGTGCATAATGAAACAAAGTTCTATGGCAAGCAGTGAGACATAAAAATGCCATGATTTGACCTGAAAATCAAGCTAAAGACCTTGCTCCAGCAAATGGAGAGCAGGAAATGGTAGCTGATTTCCATGTTTGAAGGGTAGGCTAGCAACAGATCTTGGAGCATTTTCAATGCCAACCTAAGTTTTATTAATTAGACAAAAGTCTCTGATGACTGTTGAATGGAAAAGTAAAATACTAGAGCTGATATTTAGTCAATGAATCTGGTGGCACTGTTTAATTTGGGCTAGAGAGGTAGACCTAGTAAAGGCAGGTAAACTGTTTTTGTGTTTTGTTTGTTTTTAAGATTTTATTTATTTGAGAGAGACAGGGAGTGAGCAAGAGAGACAGAGAGCATGAGTGGGAGGAGGGAGAGAGAAAGAAGCAGACTCCCAGTTGGACAGAGAGCCCAATGAGAGGCTTGATCCCAGGATACTGAGATCATGAACCCACGCTGAAGGTAGACACTTAACTGACTAAGCCACCCAAGTGCACCTTGGTAAACTCTTAATAGACTCCTGAAGTAGTCCTGAGGGAAGTGAGGCAATTATTTTGAACTTCAGTAGTGATAATTTTCATGAAGAGAAAGATTCATGAATTACAGAGACAAAAGAAGTAAAATCAACAAGCCAAATCCAGAACACTGACAACACCAAAGGGTATGGGAGAAATAGAGCAACAAGAGCTGTCATTCATTGCTGGTAGGAACGAAGAACATACAGACAGTTTGGAAGACAGTTTGGTGGTTTCTTAACAAAACTAAAATTATCCAAAGGAATTGAAAACTTATATCCACACAAAAACCTGCACATGGATGTTTATGGCAGTTTTATTCATAATTGCCAAAACCTGGAAGCAACCACAATGTCCTTCCATAGGTGAATGGATAAAACTGTGGTACATGCAGACAGTGCAAGATTATTCAGCACTCAAAAGACATGAGGGGTGCCTGGGTAGCTCGATTGGATAAGCATCTGACTCTTATTAGTTTTGGCTCAGGTCAGGATCTCGGGGTTGTGGGATCCAGACACACATGGGGCTCTGTTCTCAGTGTGGAGTCTACTTGAGATTCTCTCCCTCTGCCCCTCTCCTCACACACTCTCTCTCTCAAATCAATCAATCAATCAATCAATCAATCAATCTTTAAACAAATAAAAAGAAATGAGCTATTAGGCTATGAAAAGATGTGGAAGAAACCTAAATGCATATTACTAAGTAAAAGAAGCCAATCTGAAAAGGCTACAAGCTGTATGATTCCTACTGTATGACATTCTAGAAAAGGCAAAAGGCATTTATGGAGTAAAATGATTAGTGGTTGTCAGGGATCAGGGAATATAAAGATAAGGAGGCAAAATACAGAGGATGTTTGGGGCAGTGAAACTACTATGCGTGACACTATAATGGTGGGTGCAAGTCATTATAAACATACAGGCATTTATTCCAAAACTATGGAATATACAGCACCAAGAGTGAATCCTAATGTAAGCTATAGACTCTGGGTGATAACAATGTGTCAGCTGAGGTTCACTGATTCCAACAAATGTCTAACTCTGATAGGGAATGTTGAGAACGGGGTAGGCTCTGCATACGTTGGCAGGAGATATACGGGGAATCTGTGCCTTCTACTCAATTTTGATGTGAACCTGGAACTTCTCTAAATAAAGTCTATTTAAAAAAAAATCAACAGGACTTGAGAAATGAGTGAAAGTGAGACATTAGAGAAGTGTAAGGCCAAGGTGTTAAAAGGCTCAAAGTGAATTTCCAAGAAGCTGAAAAATAGTGATAGTGGAGTGTAAATAATTATTAGAGAAAAGTGTTAATTTTTTTTTAATGGGAAATGGTATCTTCATTGTCAACAACTCTTAGTAACAAGAACCAAGATAAGAGAATGTAAGTCAATGGTGGATATACTGAATAAGATTGTTTAGTGAGGGCAGCCCCGGTGGCTCAGAGGTTTAGCGCCACCTTCAGCCTGGGGCATGATTCTGGAGACCCGGGATCGAGTCCTCCATTGGGCTCCTTGTATAGAGCCTATTTCTCTCTCTCTCTCTCTCTCTCTCTCTTCCTCATAAATAAATAGCCTTTTAAAAAAAAGATTGTTTAGTGATACTGCAGACTATTTTAAATAAAGGAGCAGAGTCAGAGAGAAACAGACTGCTACCATGACCCAATGTGACTACCCAGGAGCTCTAGACAAGTATGAAACTTCTAGGAATCTCAGTTTTCTCAACCTTGAAACTTGAGGAAATCCAACCACTTTGTAGTTTTAAGTTAACGGAAATTTTATTTCACCCTGCCTGTCCCCTGTTGGACTTGACTATATCTGGGGATGCCTGGGGGGCTCAGTGGTTCAGTGTCTGCCTTCGACTCCGGTGTGATCCCAGAGTCCCAGGATGGAGTCCCACATTGGGCTCCTGGTGTGAAGCCTGCTTCTCTCTCTGCCCATGTCTCTGTCTCTCTCTCTGTGTCTCTCATGAATGAATAAAATCTTTTTTTTTAAAGGCTATATTTGCTATTGAATGTATTTCTAGACAGGCAGATGGAAAGCTGAAAATTCTAGC